GTACTAGATCTGGATGACAAATTTGATGTCATCCTGGGATTACCTTGGCTCAGAAGGTACGAGCCAAGGGTGAACTGGTAGCATCGATCAGTGAAGATGCCTGCTGCTTGATCATCAGATGTCCATCTGATGAACGTCATGGAGCGTCCACAAGCGTGTGGATGTTCTGCGAGTGAGTACGATGGCCTCACTTGCGGTACGGTCGCTAGCACGACTGCACAAGATCACAGTGTAGTTGATCACTACACTGTGGAGCAAGCTCTTGGCGGCTGTACAGAAGTACAGGCTGCGCCGAAGGTCCACCACTCGAATAAGTCGAGTGGACTGGGACATGGATGCATGCCTAGCGGGCAGCATCTTAGACAGAAGAAACCTGTTGCCTCCAAAGGGCAACATGGAAATCCTAGGTCGACTGGAGAGTCGACCGTAGAGGATCGGTGCCTGACTGTGGTTGCACAGCCACAGTCAGAAGACGTCGAGGGAATAAGTCCCCACGTACTTGAGGAAGGAATTCCTCAAGAGTCGCTTGCTGAGGAATCAGGCCCTCAGCAACCTGTGGAAGCAAGTTACCAGGACGAAACCGAGACTTTGAACGTCTTGGTTAATGACGGATCAAGCGTAGGCGCTTACACGCTTGATCTGATTGTGCCTCCGAAGTTAACTTCGGAGATATCTCACTTGCCAACGCTAGAACCGAAACGGTTCTTGCGTGATCTGCGTAGTGGCAAAGTCAAGCAGATCTGCATACTCGTCACAGAGGATGAGTATGTGGCCGATATTCGGTCGGCCACAGCATTTACTGACAACGAACGGGTTCTCAGCAGCTCATCGATGGACGAAAGTGTCCTCGATGAGAAGACTCGGATTAATAGATATGTATCTCAATCCTGGACGAGTACCAACTAGTCTTGTTAGTCCGCAGGTTTTTTCCTCGCCTATTTTTACCTCCATTTGGAACACAAGCAACACGAACACCTTACGGAGTCCACGAAATCGACGTATTTCGTGTTCGGGTTGCAGGCGTGGGCGACGGACCGGGCTTTCGAACCCCCTTGCTCAGCGCTTACAAAAACATGCCGTCTGCCTGCATCTCTCGCAAACAGCTTGGAGGTGTACGCGGCGTCACGCTTCGCGGCGAGTACGTATACCCCTAATTCTGTCACACCACGGTTCCTGGGTCAATGGGTCTCGCCGTGAACACGTCTATTCCTTGAAGCGTGACCCTGAGCTGCAGCCGGCAGGTCCGAAATCGGTACTGGCACATCCTCTCCCCCACAAAGCACCTTTCTTCTTCGCAGAGTTGCGCTTCCACGGCATTCGCGCATTCGGTGAACTCGCAGGACCCGTCGCATCCGAACTTTTCCACCCTCATTCCCTCGTTAGTTTAACGACTTGCCTTGCACTTAGCACTATTTCGACTGAGTGACATGATTCCTACTTTCCACTTCGGTGGCATCTTGCTTTACAGCCGCTGCTTGCAATAAAAATTATCTTCTTATATTCTTGCATGTTCTTGGTTTTTTTAGTCTTGTCCCGTAAGCCTTGACCCGTTAGACGTGTCCCATCGTCTTTTTCCCGTTGACCTTGCCCCTTGTCGGTAAGTTTTTCACATCGCATCATAAAACAAAGTTCTCATTTAGGTTTAGTATATTTACGACGTCAAGTGGTGATCCTTTGGTGCCGTCTGTGCACTTGCACAGTATCCAGGAGCTTTCTTTACAGTGTAGTGAGCATCTACACTGCGATCTTGTACTGTCGTACTGAAGCCTGTTCCACAAGTGAGGCGATTGCACTCACTCGCAGAACCCCTACATGCTTGTGGGCGTTATAAGACGTCCACCATATGGCCATCTGATGAACATTTGGCAGGCATATTGACGAATCGATGCTATCAGCTTACTCTTGATTTCTACCTCCTCAGCCAAGACAATTTGAAAATGACGTCGAACTTGTCATCCAGGTCTAGTTCTATGAAATCATTATCGTGCCATTTGTCTTCCAACGTGTAGTAGATCCGACTACAAATTTCTTTACAGTGATCGATTAGCGTGTCGTTACGCGAACCTTCATCCTCGTCGGAGAATGTCTCTCGTTCAACAAAGTTAAGCCTTCCAGACTATTGTAACTGGAGACGAACAAATTGTTCGACGCTTCACAGTAAAGAAGGCGCGAAGTGACAAGTCCTGTGGCACCCATAATGTCATGGTGACGAGATATGTCTTATCACCAGGTGCAGAGTTACTTAATGGCTGTGTGTCAAGAGCAACTTTCGCAAGCGTTTTGAACTTTTATTTATGTTGCTGAATCAGTAATGCGCTCCGCTTATACTGATTTCGATTTTTATTTGATTATCTGCATCGCTGTCGCGGCTTTGCAACAGCGCCGAACCCTTGTCCTCTAACTCTCCTGGCTGGTAGACGGTCATTTCGCTCAGTCCAGCGACGTTCTGAGCGGGGAATATTGCATTCCTATGCGTAGTGTCCCAACTTATGACAGCGATGGCATCTCAGCAATCGATTGTCTTTGGAAGGGCGAGGTTTTTGCCTTCGGCCACACAGATATATTTTGTCAGTGGACCTCCATTCGCTAGTCGTCTCTGTGGACGTTAGGGGTCGGCGTAGTGTGAGACTGTCTCGCACTTAAGTCTTACTGCCACACAGCGTAGATCGCTTCAGCAATTGTCTGCAACTCTCCGCGGAATAGGTGATCCCTGTCGAGACCATCTGAAAGCCCTTGAATGCATATTGTGAGTAAGACGCTCCCAGGGTTCGCTACCATGCAACTTGCAAGGAAACGTGCGTGCTGGGCGTAAGCGTGAACATTTACGGTTACCCTGTTTCATTTCCAAGAGCTCTGATAAAGTCCTTGATTCCACCCTAGATGAATCAAATGATTTGCTGAGCAGGGTCTTGGTGATATTTGACGACCCAAACACATATGGATCGTGCAAATTGAGGTTCAGGGCCCAATTTCTGGCATCCCCTGTCAGGAATGACTCAGCAAATTCGACTTGCATTAGCTTGTCGTCTAAATGACGGGCCTTGATGGCACCGTCTACCTCGAAGATTCATCGAAACAGGGATCTTCCTCGATTCCCCGATACTTAGAGATTTCTAAGCTAAGAGTCTCCTGTCGTCGCTCAAGCGTCGACTCTGCGGACTGAGACTGTTGCTGTCTGAGCATTTCAGTCCGCTGGTGATGTTGTTGCCGGAAAAAGGTCACCTGCGCTTGCAACTCACCAAGTTCTCGTTGCAAGAAGTTGCTGATGACGAAATGCTGCTGGTTCATGCCCCTTAAGGACAACACGGCACAGAAAACTTTTTCGCCAACGGTCGAACCCATTCGACCGATCACACTTTTCGACATCGCTCAACTAGGAGTAGCTTTCCGGGTTTTGTGAAAGCTATCGTCTTCTACATCGTCCAACATGGTCATGTTGGGCGATGCGCCAGTGGACCTTAGGCGGACTACATAGTGTTACCAGGTGTAACGAGGTGCTGGTTACTTCGTTCTTGAACACCAGTACGGAGTCAATTCTCACTGACAAGAGTGAAGGTCAGTGCCCTGTTTCCTCTATACACTGCACAGAGGAAGGGTAAACGAATAAGATTAAGACTTTGGTCGTAGCAAAAGAAAAACTGCTATTGATCATAATTAGTTCCAATATCTCTTGTTCTTTGTTTTGACCTGATTTAATTTTTTTAGCATCACCAAATCTATGACAACGTCGATTCACCACCCGTTGCGCGCGTCTAGCAGCGACTGGTGGGTATGATATAATCACAACATCAACAAATAAGTAGACCCTTAAGGTCGTCTAAGCAATATCACTGTGTGTGGTGACATTATTCCACGAGTATATAACATACTATTCTTTATTACCATTCGCAAAATGGTAACATTCATATAACGGGCAACCCCATTTTAAGCTGGCCGTCCGTCCGTCTGTCCGTCCGTCCGTCCCCAACGTAATGGCGACGGCTTCGCAAGCAAACAACTTGGTCTCCGGTAATCAGGGGATGATGCAGTCGGCTCCGATGCCGCACGAGCGTGTGGTCTAGTGGAGATCCGGCAGTCCGCAAGGTGCGATACCACTACTCCACTTCGCCTCTTTTTCTTTTTTGTAGTGCATCGACGAAAGGCTCTGCGCTTGTCCTGTTACGGCCGACAGTCCTCTGTGTCACGGTCTGAACAAACGTATCCTATTGTCATATGTGTGTCTCTCTCGTGCAGCTTGGCGCATTTTGATTGCCCCCAAAGAGAAGCGACTGCCCAACCGTAGTGTCTGTATCAGCTTCTCGAGTGGTGTGCTCAAGACGCCGTTCTTTCGCGCGCTGATTCCGCGCATGTGGATCCCGGTCCTCGTCGAGCCAGTTGAGCCGACACGACAACAGGCCGAGGAGGAGCGAACAGCTGAACAAACAATCGATGCAACTGCAACAAGGTCAACAACGACAGTGACACGTGAAGGTCCGAGCAATGTCGACGAGACAGCAATGTCGGACACGTTGCGATTCCGACGGTCAGCATGTCGCAGGGTCGTACAACCGTGTTCGGATCTGACGCGATCTTGGCGTGCCTGGAGAAGGCGTACGACGAGGCACCTTGTATGCCACGGTCCCCAGCTCTGTTCGCCGTGTCGCAGCCCCGTTTGCATGAATCGAGCAAGATCTTGTCCGTCGTGGGCGATTTGGTCGTCTACTTGCTGCGATTTCCACATGAGAAACGCGATATCGCAGTTGTGAATGCGAAGTGGGCGCCGGTCGAGTGCGAATTGAGACTGTGGGAGTCGTCTCTGGATGGCCATCAGTATCTCGTGGACCCCAACGTGCCGTACCTGTGCGACTTTCCTCTCTTTACAAACTTTGCGTACGCAGTACGATGTGGCTTGCAGCTCAACGGATTGTACCTGTAGTTAGGTAAACTCTACCGCGCCTAGTAGGGCTCTACGTCCACTCGTCAAGTCACTTGGACACGCTAGTGGAAGCAATGACACACCTTCATTCATGTGGAACAGTTGCCTGATATCCTCGTAGGTGACGCGTAGGCATGTACTCTAGCATCTTGGTGCAGTAGTTCTGGGTGTATGTGTTCTTAGGACTCTTGCACAAACCTTCCAGATCGCTCTTGGTCTCTACGCTTGCTGTTGCTGCAGATAGCTTTCGAATGGCCGCGTTGAGTTTTACAGCCGCTCCGATCGAGTCATTTTGCAGTCGACGGACAGTAGAGGTAGTCGGCAGAGATGCCAACAGTGCAGCATGTCTCTCGTACACATCCGACACCTCCGAGTGTATCGTGTTGCCAATAATGCCAAGATGGTCAAGTCGATTCAGTTGCGGCATCACATTCCACGTGCCCAGTTGAGACGCATCGGCATCGGTGAACGTAGTGACACTCCCGACACCGTCGGAGGCCATCGAAATCGAGTTTACGAGACCATCATTCGGCTGCCACTTCGTAGAGAGGTCCATACTGTCAGGCGCATACCGCCCACCAAGAAAGACTGATAATGGTTTGAGGATCAGCATCACAGTCAGCAGACGAGGCAGCGCGATTTTGCGAAAGAGATAGTCTCGCGCACCGAACGTGGCCACAGTGGTGTAGCTGTAGTAGTACACGTCACTAAGCGTCTTCACCCACGTCGCTTCTTCTTTCGCACCACGAGTGGACAAACTCCAGAGACAAGCGTCTTGAAAGCCCGGATCAAAGATCGTGCTGGAAAAGATGCGGTCGAGGTACGCTTGCAGCGTCTCGTCTGGCTGTTTACTTGAAATCCCCCATTGATCCATTTTGACGTCATAGAACATCTCGACCTTGATTCCAAGGATCCCGATTATGCCATATACACCTGCAAGCAGGTCTTTGACTTGGTCGCCAATGACAGAGAAGCCGTCGGCGAGGGTCGTGCCTTGGTTTGGCGCTGAAATAGTCGTTATCGAGTGCACCCAGCTCTTCCCACCAGCGAACAACGGATGCGACGACGGATCTTCCTCGACGGGTGCACCGGTGGTACCATGCGCGAGCATCTGAGCCAACATTCGTATTGTCTGGCCACCCATACTGTGTCCGATGAGGTGGACCTTGTTGACCGAGCCATCCGAGTTGACTTTGCCCCACTTTGTGTAGAGGCCCGTGTAGTTGCGTCCAAAGCGAAGGTGCTTGTGCGTCGCTGAGTGTTGCTTGCCATAGTCGACGCGCCCGCCTTTGATAATAGCGTACAGCTCGCACGCCCGATCCCAGTTGCTTGAAAAGGGGCCGACTGCAGCAGTATAGACCGTATACCCTCGAGCCGTGAGCTCATCCTGGAAATCTCCTTGATTGCCACCCCAGTACCGGAAACCCGAAAACTCGTCACGACCCCAGCCGGAAAACCCATTGACGAGCACGATCGGGTACGAATTCGTCGCTCGTGTATCGACTAGCGACATTGCTGTGATGAGGAGCACGAAGGCGGCACGAAGGAATAGCACGGACATCGTCAAGCCGAAAGGCGCAAACGCAACGGCAAATGCAAGGTCGAGTGTCGAGTACGAAGTGATAGCGCGTCTCGCTTAGCCTCAATGATAGACACTTAGCCTCAATGATAGACAGAGAAGAACTGGTTGTGACAGCGGGAGACACGACTCCATCGACCGCAGAAAGCTTGTGGCATACGGACAAAGCGCTGCTCTGCATGCTCGGGTCATCATCTTCCAGTGCCACACGGATGGATACGCGGGACGCGTTGAATAAAATCACCATGTGGTGCAAATCGTTGTCCACTCATCTTCACCGTACACAGGACAGTGCTTTCGCTCTACTTATTTTCTCTGGGTGTTTTAGGGCTCAAAGTCTTGCAACTGCGCCATGCGTTCATGGTGATTGACTTCGGATGTCAAGACCATGGTCTGTACGTTAGTAGGTGCTCGTATCGGTCGTGGAATGTGCAAGAAGTGACTACTTTTGTCGCCTCACATATTGTGCAGTAAATGCGAAGCTTCGTCCGTAAGTCCGAGCCAAAGGGTTCAACACTGTAGCGTGGTGAGTTGTGCATGAGTACGTACTGATTCGTTGCAAACAAGCAAGCATGTCATGGCGCTCTCGTATACAATAATCACTCTGTCGCGTACTCGGCCCCAAGACACGTGCAAAGCTCTCCAATGAAGCTGCACCACTTTTTTCTCTTTTTTCATGATGAAAAAACCGTTCATCCCTCTTCGGAGTGATACAAGCAGTGGCCGAGCGATCGACCGTAGTCGAAGAATACCACTCGCTACCCGAGGAGCAAAAGTAGACCCCGGTGTGATTACTAATGGTACTGACATCATCATTCGCTACCAGACTGAGTACCGCAAGGCATGGCGGTACTTAGAGGACAGAGATTTTATTAATCAAGCGGGAGCAAATATAAAAAAAGGTAAAATAATGCAGCAGCTAATTACGAAAAAATGCAACACAGATGAGTACATAAACATGCAGCACAAGATGCGTAAACAAAAACGCACCACAAGATGCGGTAGATAGAAAACATTCCACCAAATGATCAAAGAAGAAGAATGTTTTACGCATGTACACTTTACGATTGCATTTGCACATGCTCGCGATCACAATGAGTACATGCAGCCATTGTGTTGCTATTTCTGAGGTCGGCTTCGACTAAATCACAAAAGGGTATACATTTACGTAGAAATCAGTATACGCTAGAGTGGGACATGCGTGCGTACTGCGAACGATCTGTAACGTCTACTCAGTCAACGATATCTCTCCTTAACAACAGTCGGTAATGTGCGTGGGACGCATTGCTTGTTAACATTGAGTCTTATTGTGGGACGAGGCACAGCCACGTCGACTAGGGAAGGAAAACAGCCAAACACCAGCACGTACCCATCGTCTAACTCCGATGAATAAACCAAGGGCTTCAAGATTATTTTTGTGGAGAACGCCTGTCCAGCGAGACGGCGAGGACTGGGACATTTAATAGTATGAGATGCTAAACACGTTTGAAGAGAGCTTGCTGAGCAACATCGCCAGCGGCGATATGATTAAAGGCAAAGAGTGGGATGAGAGGGAAACAAGCCACGCACCAGATTTTGATCCAGGATTCACTGTCTACAAGGCATGCAAAGCAAGTAGTGTCCAGGTCGACGGGCACGGAAATGTGGAATGAACATGTATTGATGTACGAAGAGAAGAATAACCCGCCGCAATGGTGGCACAGAAGGTGCAAGCGACACAAGATAACATTTCGAGAGAGAGAGATGATGTGCGAAGTCATCTCTACACGATATTTGACATCAAAAATAGACCGGAGGAATTGGGTTCACCGGTGAACGAAGTGCGAATGGTAAACAAGATGCTGCAAATCTTGCCGACGATCCCGAGTTATAACGAACTCCGATGCGAAGTGTCATTTGGCCCCAATATGAGCAAGTACACACCGAAATTAGCTCGTGAATATTCTATACTTCAATGACACGCAGTAAAACTTCAGGCAACAATGCATTCGGGCACAGGCAAGATTTTGGAGCTAATTAAGATCGATTCGTACTCCACGAGGTCACAGCAAGAAACAATACTTGATTGCTGGTCAAAAAAATAGATCTGAGAAGGCTTTTCGTGGATGGTGTTTTCTTCATGATAGAAACCGGCCGCTGCAAGCGCGGATGTCTCGTACCTAAAGGATAGAAACCTCCAGGAAAAAGACCAAATACCAGGTACGAGCAAACAAAAGACAGTCTTACAAAGCATCCGCGAGCGTGTCAAGTTTCTCGACGAGTGATGTTGTGTATATACATTATGTGTAAATTGGTGAAATGTGTAAGGACCGACAAGAAGTTTGACTCATCGCGTCGGTATTTCAGTGCTAAAACTAGTGCAAACATCACGACCCGCAAACCATATTTCACTACGTTGCAGAGCATGAACCAATGTGATTGAAAGCCCCCTATTTCGATTTTGCTAGTGCAATTGGAGCCAAGGCCAAATGTTTCGGAGCGATTATGTGCTAGAAGTAATGATTGACAAACATACGACTTTTGTGCTTGTGGGGGACGTTTTGTACGTGCCAAGTGGGAGGAGCAATTCATTTTCGCCAGGACTGACTCTAGATCAAGGAATATGAGTGACCTAGGAGCCGAACGCGGGAATGCTTGGAATATCAAAGGATAAGGTGGAGGTTGTACGCACAAAGTATAAACGCGACATAGGACATTAAACACTCACAATGTGGGAGGTGCTATTCCACAGCAGACCAAAGTAATGGCCAAACAGCAAGAATTTTACAAAATTTGCTGTTGCTGACGGTGTCGAGAACTTAAGAAGCGTGGTAGAAGCGACTTAAGCATACCTGCCCAGAATGCATTTGGTCAATGGTCGGTCGAGGTATCGCAAAGGAGATTATGCCTAAGCGTCGAGGAAAGGTGGAATATGCGGACTGTCACTTTGGCAAATAACGGTGTAAGAAAGCAAAAAGGTTTTTCGGCTGGCGCATTGATTGGGTTACATAATGGCTTTTGCAGACCTGTATTTTATACTAAAGATTAACAAATACTCGACAGTTTCTGCGGTTGTCGTTGTCATGGACAAGCTTTCTCGTTACGTGGGGTTTATCGAGTTGATTCGAAGACGGAAGGCTAGATAAAAGTACACAAGAAGAAAATTTCGCATGCGCCGAGCGCCATCGATAAAGTCGAGCAAATGTATTTACTTCTCGCGACTACGATAGAGCGGACTAGCACAAATATGCCGGAACAGTAAAGCAAGTGCTTACAACAAGGGCCAAAAGCTTGTCTGATAGTAAAATGGCAACTCGGCACATGCGAAAGGGGTTGTGCACACGAAAGTCGGACCTATCCCATTCCATTTGAACCATGTATAGCGGCCACATCAGAAAATAAGTGGAATAGTGAAGACAATGATGCATTGTTCGTGCTTTCCAAATTCATTCTGAACGAATGCCTGCAAGACTGCCGTTTCCGCGAAGAATCGCGAATGTTGCAAGGGTGCAGGCCGTATCCCGTACAAATTGGTGTTTCGAACCAAGCCAGACAGAATTCACCAAATTCGAGCATCTAAACCCCTGTCATTCCATCATGTGCTTAGTCCAAATAAAAAAAACTTATGATAAGCTGCAGCATGAAATTTATGATTCGTTATTGTGTAGACGTTGTTGGCTGTCACATCGATTTCTCGACGGCTCATGTCCGACGCTAATATCAATGAATTCATCAAGTATACCCGTCAGCGCAACACCAGTGGGTAGAAACGAAAGGTTTTCACATGGCTACAAAACTCTCACGAATGTTTCTAAGAAGGCGCTATGCGCGATTCTGACAATGATGACGATGATTACGGACTCGATATTTCCACGAATCTGATATGGGTCGCACAAATGAAGTAGCAATCATGACATAAATAGGGGCAGTCGGACCTTGTGGGCTCATCGAGTACACCGCGTAGACGACTACGTAGTCGGCTGTCGGCGGCAGCTCCTGTGGGACACTGTGCAGAAATGAGATACGTTCAGTGTGGTAAGTGAGAAAGTGGGCTGTTATGGGATGGTATTCTTCGGAAACAGCTGCCTGCCTAAATTTGAATGATGCGATTGTGGAAACGCAGGAGGGAGATTGTGCAGCGAGTACTTCCAACATTAATGGAATATCCAATTTTACCGAAAAGGACTGTGACTGCAGCAAGGGTACATTACCGGGTGTACATCATTTGCGTTATCATAGATACTTAGGAAGCATTTCCGATTTTAATAATTCCTGTGGCGATAGTATAAAGGAGATTTACTTCGTGAACCTTCAGATAAATAATCTTCTGACAATGGTATCGCTAGTAGATATGACTTTTTCTGAATACGTGAGACATCTTACGGACATGTCCGCAGTCATGTGTACTGATAGCTCTCTAATAAGATGGCAAATTACATCATTTATTATATCCAATTGAACAGCTTAATATCAAGAATGACAAAGACGTTGTTGATTTTATATTTGCGGCGCAAAATGCCTTGACAGCTTTTGCGGAACACATAACTAGTAACAATCATCCACGCGACATCGCGATGAGTAGGTTTCATGATAAGAAACGCATCAAGGTTACACAAAAAGAGCGCAAGCAATCTCGGGACTTCATGATTTAACATACTTTGATTATGTGCTTGACTCGTCTTCTTGAGCAATGCATATCGACGTACGAAGTGATGGCGGCATTAACGCAAGAAGTCATAACACATCAAGAACATACCGTGCAGCAATGGTGTCGGACTATTCAATACAGTGGAAAAAGGCAATAGATGCAAAATTGGTAGCGCTGAAAGACAAAGGTGGTAGGCATTTTCACCATACGTGGAATGACAAACTGAAGTAAAGCAATCAGTGCTATGTGGACCGTCAACCTTAAACGGACCGTTTAGAAGATATCGACAGATTTTGAGCGCGCATTTTGATGCGGGGCGACAAACAGAGTCCTGGACTTAATGACATGGAGATAT